ACAAGACTTTCACATACCAATGTCTATGAAGATAAATATCTTGAGAAATTTTCTATGATTCTATTCAATTGATTCTGTCTAATTACCACAGAATTACATGCTCGTGCTTAGGTCTATTAGGCTATTACACAGCCACAGTGGAGGGGCATTTATCTTCAACGTTTATGCTTAAAATGGGGAAGAAGGCCAAATGCCAGTACTCAAAGGTTTCTTGAGTGCTAAAAATGCAAACAGTGACTTTGTGGGATTTTCAGAACTACCAAACTGCAATTTATGTATCTCATAGTTGTAGAAAATTAATCCTCCATCAAATATGACATTGTGTATCACCAGCAATCTCACTTTAGGTTTATTGAAACTCAGCTTTTTTTTTTTTTTTTTTTTTTTTACTGGTAGTCTAACATTCCCTGCTTCAGAATATTTTTCTCCTCAAAATTTTGTCATAACAACATAAAACAGTCAGTGAACCAAAACAACTTGAGGCTCTACATTCATATTTGCTTATGCCACATTAGAGAGTATAATAGCAAGACTTTCGCTACGTGCCTATTAACCCCTGTAGTATAAGAGAAACAACAGACTTTTTAAACCGATGGACTTGTGCAGGAAATTAAAATGATAGTCAAAGAATGTGTACTTCGTTCTCCAAAGGCACCCGCTGCTGCCACCTACAGACGAAAGAGATTCACAGCTCCTGCCTAATACTAGAAAATATATTTTTTTACTACAGGACAGTAACAGCAGTAATAGGTATTCCTCAGGGAACAAGTCTACAGTTCCACAAACAATTCTTAATTTAGGAAAAAAAAAGTCTTGTGATGTTAAAAATAACTGGCACCTTACTACTTCTGAGTTAGCAATGACATGTAAAGCTTCAGGTAAATAATTTCAGAAATCTTCCCTAAACTTTCAGGATTTTCTTAGAAACAGGAAACCACTGAACTACACACCTTGTCTTTGCTTAGGTCGTACCTCCTTCTAACGACACAGCAACAAAACTTTACCTAAGGACTGAAAATGGGTTGAAAGTGCCACCAAATAGGTACACATGTGAGCTACAAAATCAGCAATAATAGGGTACCTCATGATTAGGTAAGTTCAGCTCTAGTCACAGTTTCTTATAAACCAGTATACAGGAAAATGATACGGGAACAGACTGGAATATTGCATATAGGGCTGTCTTTCTTACTTCAGCAGCATACCTGCACACAAAAAGGCTTCTTTCCTTTGACCTGAAACAGCCTTTCTGTTGCCTGTAGTTCGTGCTTTGATGAGCTTGAAAATAAAAACCAAATGTAATGGTTTTATATCTCAAATAAGTAAAGTTTTGATTTCTCAGATAAATCAAAGAAATTGGCTTGGAGGCCTAAATATAGGGATGGCCAGTATCTGTACTGTGGCAGTTTCCATCTGTGGCTTTTGCGATGCCTGGCAATTAACAGCTGCCATCGAAGTCCATGCCCAGGAGTCAATATTTTTAATTGCTGCATACTATAGGCCTGCACAATGTACTGCCAGCAAGCCTCTCGTGCATCACAAAGCAAACTGTTTGGCTGAATGGGTGACTGCAAGGTAATGCAGTGTTTTTGTGTAGTAATGTTTGTGTAGCTGAAGGGTTAGCTAGCACTTTAAGTGTACTAACTGTAGCTAAATTAGCACTGGTGAAAAAGCCTAGAGGCAAGCATGCTGTTGTTCCCTGGACAGTGAAGATGCAGTGCTGCTGTCTGACCGGGCAGCTGAAAGGCACCATTTGTCCTCTGACCTTGGAGGCCGGCTGAAAATCTGGAGTTGTGAGTCGATGCTAGCAAGCGCGGCATGGCGAGGCAGGTCGCAGGGCCTACCGCAGAGCTGCCTCCCTGCCTCGTGCCATCCTCTGCCTCGCGCTGCCCAGGAAGCCAAGCGTGCCAGGTGGATCTGTGGCAGACTGAGAACCAGCCATGGGGGAAGGAGAAGAGAGACGTAGTGTCAGAGTGGGGAACACCAGTTTGTCATCCACAGCAAGATGCAGACCTTTGTTAGTATGTTGAAGCCTTTAATAGCTCATCTCCTGGCATGTATTGCATGTATTACTTGCCCACATTAGCATTTAAGCAAGCCAAAAAATTTAAACTTTGAAGTTTCATGAAGTTACAAAGTTCTGTTGAAGCCACAAAGATTTGTTTTTCAGTTCCATGCTGTACTCCGAGTTGTTTGTATCTAACAGGTCTTTTGGAAGCTTGCATTTCAAGATCATGTTTGGGGACTTCTGCCCCTTCAGAAGACAGTGGTAACCTGTTCTGTTTGCCCATGCAAATCCTAGAAATGGCCCCAGATTACGTATAGGGGTTGCAACTCTGAACATGAGCCAGCAGTGTGCTCAGGTGGCCAAGAGGGCCAATGGCATCCTGGCTTGTATCAGGAATAGTGTGGCCAGCAGGACTAGGGAGGTGATAGTGCCCCCATACTTGGCACTGGTGAGGCTGCACCTCGAGTACTGTGTTCAGTTTTGGGCCCCTCACTACAAGAAGGACATCGAGGTGCTGGAGCGTGTCCAGAGAAGGGCAATGAAGCTGGTGAAGGGTCTGGAGCACAAGTCTTCTGAGGAGCGGCTGAGGGAGCTGGGGTTGTTTAGTCTGGAGAAGAGGAGGCTGAGGGGAGACCTTATTGCTCTCTACAACTACCTGAAAGGAGGCTGTAGCGAGGGGGGGGTCAGTGTCCTCTCCCAAGTAACAAGCGACAGGACGAGAGGAAACGGCCTCAAGCTGCGCCAGGGGAGGTTTAGGTTGGACATTAGGAAAAACTTCTTCACCGAAAGGGTAGTCAGGCATTGTAACAGGCTGCCCAGGGAAGTGGTTGAGTCCCCGTCCCTGGAGGTATTTAAAAGATGTGTAGATGTGGTGCTTAGGGACATGGTTTAGTGGTGGACTTGGCAGTGCTAGGTTAACGGTTGGACTTGATGATCTTAAGGGTCTTTCCCAACCTTAACGATTCCATGATTCTATGATTTTAACTCTATTTTCATATAATGAAAAACCATTTAAGCAAAAAATATGCTACCACTAAACACTTTTGTGCTTTGTATTGTTATGATCACCTTATAAATTTACATTTATTTGTTACAGGTAATATATAGGGTCTTACATAGGTGTAGAACAATCAGATAATATTTGAAATTCTAATATTGGTAAAGTTGCCCACAGTAATACTACCTGTTTTAATTTCAGGTTAAATTATCTTTATTCTTCATTTACAGGTACTTTAAGGAGAGAACAAGTCTGCTCTAATTTCTCTAACAAAGCCAGTTGAAAGGCAATTAATCAGGGGTTTCAGAGAGGACACTGAAAGCCAAACAGGTGAATTTCAGCACCTTGCAGGATCTAGAAAGAATGCTGTTTGCGAACACAGTATTACTACTTGGATGACAGTGGTAAAATTTCACGGGGTCACAGAGCAGCTGAGGCTGGCAGGGACCTCTGGAGGGCATCTGATCCAATGCCCCTGCTCAAGCAGGGCCACCTAGAGCCAGCTGCCCAGAACTGTGTCCAGGCAGCTTTTGAGTGTCTCCAAGGACAGAGACTCCACAACCTCCCTGCACAACCTGCGCCAGTGCTCGGTCACCCTGACACTGAAAAAGTGTTTCCTGATGTTCGGAGGGAACCTCCTGTGTTTCAGTGTGTGCCCATTGCCTCTGGTCCTGGCACTGGGTCCCATGACAGGACCAGAGGCAACGGCCCTGTGACAGAGCCTGGCTCTATCCTCTATGCACCCTCCCTTCAGGTATTTAGATACGTTGATGAGATCCCTTGAGCCTTCTCTGCTCCAGGCTGGACAGTACCAGCCCTCTCAGCCTTTTCCCATAGGAGAGAAACTCCAGTCCCTTCATCATCTTAGTGGCCATTTGCTTGACTCTCTGCAGTAGCTCCCCAATTTTCTTAAAAATGTTGAATCCTAGATAGCTCCTATATGCCATACAGGAGCATATACAGCTCCTATATATGTTGCAAGTGAGCACGTTCTCAGAATATACAGAAGATGCAGCTGTTGCTACCACAAGTTCCTCCCAGCCTCTCACTAGGCAGCAGCGAGGCACCGACCCCTCAAAGGAGAACATCGCCTTTATTGCCCTGAATTACCGCAGCGTTTGTTCCCGGAGGCCGAGTTTTAAGCGAAAACCCGCGGTGGCCTTGGGCCGGGAGGAACCGGCTGACTGAGGGCGGCAGCCGCCCCGCCTCGCAGCCGCCCCGCCTCCCAGCCGGGCGGAAGGCCCCGCCGCCGGCCCCC